GCAGGCCAGCTGGCGCCTCCTGAATCTCCTTCCTGAAAACAAGTTAGGCCTTGGGGAAACTCTTCCAAAAGCACTATGGAGAAGGCACTATTTTTACTTAAAACAAGATCAAACCAGAAACCTTTTCACATGTGAGTCCTAAAACTGTAAACTGGAGCCCTTTCATATGCAATTCCTGAAACTGTAAACAGAAATCTTTTCACATGTAAGCCCTAAAAACTGTTAACCTAAGATTCTTCCACGTGTAACATCTAAAGTATAAGCCTATATAAAAGCGGAACCTCCCTTTGTTAGGGGAGCTTGGCTATTAAGCACATATGCTACCAAGCTACCAGCTGTAATAAAGTTCCTTCCTCCTGGATTCAGTGTCTGAGAAATCCTTTCCCGCAGCCGCTCCTGCTACATTTTTGGTGCGTTGGCCGGGAAGTGAATCTCGGATAGCAGACCTCAGTAAAAAGTCTGTTAGGTGGTTTGCCTAGACCTGCGGAGCATCCCTGCAGGGGGACTCCTGCTCGCTGGGGTGACGCATCCTGAGAGCGCTCCCAGGTAGGTATTTGCCCAATGGAAAAGCCTCACCAGAGCTGAGCAAGGAGGCCCTGCAGTGTCGATCCACCCAGTGGCTGAACACCAAGGAGGAACAAATATTTGGGGAAGTCCGGACACTAAATTTGGTAAGATTGAATCTGGGAAAGTAGCCCACCCCGTTTTAGGTGGAAGTGTGGCCTGATCACCCACGGGTGCCAGATTAGCACATTGGAAAGTAGCTCTCTGTAAACTTGGAAGCTTTTGCTTATGGTTTTGAATTGGAAAAAAAGCAATCAAATGTGTGTCTGTGGGTGTGGATGTCTGTCTGTGTCGTCAAACAATTTGTAAAATAAAATTGAACCCAGAAAAGTAGCCAACCCCATTTTGGGTGGAAGTGTGGCCTGATCACACGCGGGTGCCAGATCAGCACGTTAGAAGGTAGCTCTCTCTGTGACCTTGGAAGCTTTTGCTTATAGTTTTAAATTGGAAGGAGAGCAATTGAATGTGTGTCTGTGTGTACAGATGTGTCCAACCGGACTCATCAGTCATAAAAGGTATCAGGCCCATTAGAAAGGGCCTCATGCATCAAGCAATCTGTAAGAATTAGAAACAGCCACAGAAGGCTTGATTTAAAAAGCCCCTGGGCGATTGTAAAAGGATTGAAGTGAATGTAAATCAGAGTGCTCTGGGCTGCGCGTTGCTAAGCAGGAACGGGAACTGCTGTGAGTAAACTAACACTCTCCTAACTGTGGGAACTGTTTCTTCAAAGTGTTTATATAGGTCATTTCCATAGCCATCCCACCCCTTTAAAAACCATGCTAAAAAATTTCAAAAAGATTTGGTAGGAATTATAAAATAACTATGACACCAGAAAAATTAAAGGTTTTATGTAGAGAAAATTAGCCAGCACAAGTAAGTTGGCCCCCAGAGGGGACCCTAGACAGGTCCCTTGTCTCCAAAGTAAGGCATAAAGTTATATACGGCGAGCTAAAACACCTCAATCAATTTCCATACATAGACTCGTGGTTGCAGTTAGTGTTAAACCCTCCAAAGTAGCTAAGAGAGCAGGCAGCAACTGTTTTAGTAGCCAAAAGACAGACTGCTAAAAACCACCATCCCCCTCGCCGCCGAGAAACACGGAATCTCAAAGTCGAAGCAAATTCAGTAGCAAAAACAACACCCAAAGTTTTAGTAAACCCAACAGCAAAAAGTTTTTGTCAATAATGCCTCCTCCTCCTACTCAAAAACTCCCTGCCCCTAAGCAAAAAGCTTCAGCATCCCCACCAGAGCTGCACACTCCTAAAATCCTCCAGATCAGACAAAAGAGAACGTGAAAAAACTCCACCCATTGCTGCTCACTTCCAAGAGGGAACTCCCCCTCTAGCAACTCGTCTGCGACCCAAAGATAGAGTGCAAATGCCTTTAAAAAAGCAAAAGTACACGGGAGTGAACAAAGACGGCCACAAGGTAAAAAAGCGTGTTTTCACATACCTGCTGTTCACCTCGGCTAGTCTTATCAATTAAAAACAACCCGTCTTATACCAAGAAACCCCAAGCTCTCATTGATCAACTGCAAACTATTATTCAGACTTATAACCTCATTTGCATTAATTGCCATCAGCTGCTTATGCATCTTTTTTAGGACAGACGAAAAGCGAAAAATACTCCAAGCCACTTCTAATTAGCTAGAGAAGCATGTTCCTGCAGATTACCAAAACCCCCTAAAGTATAAAAAAGGGGGTTCCTGAAAACCCCCACAGTCTGCCCGCCCGGGCCTGCAATGCTATCAGTATGCATTCTGTTGAGAAATAGGACGCTAAAAGAAAAAAAAGTGTCCAGTTAACTAAGGAACAGGACGATCCTAAGCAGGAAGATGCAAATAAGCGTGAAGACGCTCTGTTCAATCTAATGGAAGAGCCACTGAACTAAAAGAGAGGGGGGCTAGACTCATATGCCCCCAAAGAGCCCATGGTCCGGATGACAGCCCTGTAACCCCCCCATAGGAAAAAACAAGGCCAGTGTTGTTGAATCTATTAAAGTATTAAGAGAACAGACTTTCTTGTACTTAATTGTCCCTGCCCCCCTTCTCCGACAAAACCTGTTGTGCAAATCAAGGGCCGCTATCCCATTCAACAAAAAAGACTACCTGCAGCTAAAACTGCCTCAGTCGGGGGTCATCCAGGCTCTCGCTGTCCCTTGGGAAGGAGGGTGGAAACTTCCTAGCCAGAAGCAGAGGACTGATATTATCACCAAGGCCAGTGCAGGGTTTGTGTGGCTTTGCACCCAATTTATACACGCAGTTGGGATTATTGCCAGCAGCGGATAGTTAGTTCACCTAATTAGACTTAAAGAATACCTCCTTAGCATTAAACTGGCCTTGAAGGGTCTAAAACTATTTGCATTTCAATGGGAAAAACCCAGAAGCAAGTGTAACCACTCAATACACCTGGACCCAGAGGCTCAGAAACTCTCTCATCATCGTTAGGGATGCATCAGCCTGTAACCATCCCCCAAAAGCTTCTTGCTTGCATGCTGCCCCCCTGTGCTGATAACCTTCTATTAGGACGCCCCACAGCAGTCAGGTGCGCAAACAAATGCCTTACTTTAGCACCTGGAGGACTGTGGGTATAAAGTGTCTAAAAGAAAAGCCCTCATTTGTCAAAAAGCAAATTCAATATCTGAGGCTTACCATCTAGAAAGGGGAACGCAGCCTAGAAACAAAGAAGAAGCAAGCCGCTTGCAAAGTGACAGAACCTGAGACTAAAAAGCAGGTAAGAGAGCTCCTAGAGGTGGTGGGTTTTGTAAATTGTGAATTTCCAAGCTTCGCAGTACTAGCCAAACCCCTCGATGATGTGACAAAGGGGGAAGACAAGGAGCCCTTTAAATAGGGATCGCAGCAGTGTCAGGCCTATCAGGAACTGAAAATGAAACTAATGTCAGCTCCAGCTTTGGGGCTGCCTAATTTAACAAAGCCCTTCCCATTATATGTGGCAAAAAAAAAAAAAAAGTGGCAGTTGGGGTCCTAGTCCAAACAGTAGAATCTTGGCCCAAGCCTGTAGCTTACCTCTCCAAGCAGCTGAATGGAGTTTCCAAAGGATGGCCCTCATGCTTAAGGGCCCTGGCAGCAACTGCTCTGCTGGCACAAGAAGCTGATAAGCTAACTCTGGGACAGAACCTAAATATCAAGGCGCCTCACGCAATAGTGACTCTAATGAATACCGGAGGGCACCACTGCTTATCAAATGTTAGGCTGGCCAAATACCAAGGCCTGCTGTGTAAAATTCTTGCATCACCATTGAAGTCTGCAACACCTTGAACCCTGCCACTCTGCTCCCAATGTCAGAAAGTCCTGTTAAACACAACTGTGTTAAAGTCCTGGACACAGTCTATTCCAGCAGGCCTGATCTTCAGGATCAGGCATGGACAGTAGTAGACTGGGAGTTGTATGTGGATGGGAGCAGCTTTGTCAATCCACGAGGGGAAAAATGTGCAGGCTACGCCGTGGTAACTCTGGACACTGTAATCGAGGCCAAATCCCTGCCTCAAGGCACCTGGGCTCAGAAGGCTGAACTCATCACTTTAACTGGAGCCCTAGAGCTAAGTAAAGATAAGTTTGTAAACATTTAGACTGACTGGAAGTACATGAAGCACTGTACAAAGAGAGAGGCCTGTTAACTTCAGGGGGAGAAGAAACAAAGTATCAACATGAGATTTTGCAATTGCTAAGAGCAGTCTAGATGCCCCAAAAAGTAGTGGTCATGCATTGCCAAGGACATCAGGGGGCCCACACCTCTGTGGCCCTGAAAAATTCCCGAGCTGATTCAGCAGCTCGCAAGGCAGCATCTGCCCCCTACCAAACAGCAGTTACAGCCCGGCTGATTCCCCAGATCCCTGATCTAACACCTACTTACTCTAAGAAGGAAAGAGACTTTCTCCAGACAGAAGGGGGACAACTGATTAAAGAAGTATAGATCCAACTGCCGGATGGAAGAAGAGCAGAACCACAGCTGCTGGGGGCCGCAGTTGTACAAGCCGTACATGAGGCCGCTCATTTAGGTCAAGAGTCGCTTGAAAAAATGCTGAGCCGGTACTTTTACATCTCACACTTACCAGCCTTGACCAAAACTGTAGCACAGCGAGGCATTACATATGGGCAACACAATGCGAGGCAGGGTCCAACTATTCCCCCTGGAATTCAATCTTACAGAGCAGCTCCGTTTGAAGATCTCCAGGTAGACTTTACTGAAATGCCCAAGTGTGGGGGACATAAGTATTTGTCGGTCCTGGTGTGCACATACTCTGGGTGGGTAGAGGCCTTCCCAACTAGGACTAAAAAAGACCATGAAGTAACCCGTGTACTGCTTCGAGATCTCATCCCTAGGTTTAGACTGCCACTGCGCATCGGATCAGACAACGGACCAACCAGCATTTGTGGCGGATTTAGTCCAAAAAACAGCAACGGCCTTAAGTATCACCTGGAAACTGCATGCTGCCTACCGACTTCAGGGTTCTGGAAAAGTGGAAAGAATGAACTGAACCATCAAAAACAGCTTAGGGAAAGTATGTCAGGAAACAAGATTAAAATGGGTGCAGGCACTTCCCTTAGTGCTATTCAAAATTAGATGCACCCCCTCTAAGAAAAACAAGATATTCCCCTATTAAGTGTTACACCATAGGCCCCTCCCCTACTCTGGGCACTCCCGGGAACTCCTCGGGAGTGGGGAAAAATTGAGTTAGGATGTGAGTTACTAGCCCTAGGGAAAATCGCTTAGGATACTTCAACCTAAGTAAATAACAAATGTCCTGTAAGCCTTTTTCTCCCCAGTTCACCCTTTCTCACTAGGTAATCATGTGTGGATAAAGGACAGGAGTACAGTCCCTCTAAAGCCACAATGGAAAAGACCTCAGACCTGATCCTGACCAATCCCACAGCTGTGAAGGTAGAAGGACTCCAAGCCTGAATCCACCACAGACATGTAAAAACCAGCAACACCTAAGACTTAGACCAAGGCAAGGACTGCAGAATCACCTTAAAAAGGACAACAAGCTCTGCTCCAGCCACATCCCGGAAGCTGGCTGGTCCACGCACAGCCGAAGCATGAGGAAATTCATCGTAGGACTTGCTGTTCTTAATATTTGGACTTGTACAGTAGGGACATTAACTGATTTTGAAAAATGCTCTCAATGTGTCCACCAGGTTACAAAGGTAAAGCGAAATGTCACTGCCATTCTTTTGTTTTACAGTTATTATAAAGGCACAGAGACACAAAAGGGAACGTGTTTATACAATGGTACTCAGTATAAGATATGTAGACCGGGGGATAGACAGCCTGGTATATGTTACAACCCATCAGAGCCCCCTATACATACGACTTTTGAAATTAGACTCCTGACAAGGCGATGGAATAGCCCTACTAAATTAATAGCCAGGAGAGAAGAGAGAGAAAGCCCAAAACAAGTCACTCTAAGGTTTGATGCCTGTGCAGCCATCAATGCCTATCCTTCTGGTGCCAGGGGCCGTGATTCCCTCAGGTGGGAACAAAGTTATGCAACAGAGCATAAATATCTCTGCCAGAAAACCTACTGGTGCTATGACTGCACCTATTAGTCCTGTGTCACCTGGGCCGCTTAGAAAAATGATGAAAATAATCCTGTTCGCCTTGTGAAAAGGAGAGACACCACTTCAGGACATAATGTCCCCTGTATCTCAGGACATTGTAACCCAGTAGAATTAATAATCATGAACCCCCAAGACCCCAAATGGGAAAAAAAGGGAGAGTGTAGTACTAGAAATTGATGGAAAAACACGTGACCCGAAAGTTAGTATCCAAATTCGGGGAAAAGTCCAGAAACTCTCAGCCCGGCCAGTGTACCAATACTTTTATAATATATTAGATGAACCGATACCAGAGCTTCCAAAAAGGATGAAGAACTTGTTCCTCCAACTGGCTAAAAATGTAGCCCATTCCCTCAATGTCACTTCTTGCTATGTATGTGGAGGAATGACCATGAGTAACAGGTGGCCATAGAAAGCCAGTGAGTTATTACATTCTGACCCTGTCCCGGACCTGACTTCAGTTCAAAAAGTTCAAACCAACAGTTTCTGAGTTTTAAAGTTTTCAATTATTAGACAATACTGTTTAGCCAGAGAGGGAGCAAGCTTCACTATTCCAGTAAGGAAGCTTAGCTGCTTAGGGGAGCAATTGTATAATAGAACCATAGGCACAGTAACCTGGTAAAGCTCAAATTATACAGAGAAAAACCACCTCCTAAAATTTCCAAAATTACAAGATGCTTAGGGTCATCCTAAGTAACAGAGAGATTGGACAGCCCCGCCTGGGTTATACTGGATATACAGACGTAAGGCATACATACAACTGCCTAACAGGTGGACAGGTAGCTGTGTCATAGGCATCATTAAGCCCTCTTTCTTCCTATTATCCGTTAAAACCAGTGAGCTATTAAGGTGTCCAGTCTACTCTGCTAGGGAGAAAAAAGACCTAAAAATAGGGGATTGGACAGATAATGAGTAGCCACCAGGAAGCATTATTAAGTATTATAGGCCGGCCACATGTGCAGAAGATGGCTCATAAAGATACCAGACCCCTATTTATGTGCTCAACCGGATCATCCAGTTGCAAGCTGTTTTAGAATACTCACTAATGAAACGGGCAAAGCTCTGTCCCTTTTTAGCCCAATAACAACAATAACAAAAAAAACTCAAATAAGAAATGTGATTTACCAGAACTGGCTGGCCCTAGATTATTTGCTAGCAGCCAAAAGAGGAGTCTGTGGAAAATTCAATGTAACCAACTGCTGTCTGCACACAGATAACCAGGGGCAAGCAGTGAAAGGTACTGTGCAAGACATGACCAAACTAGCACACGTCCCTGCACAGGTATGGCACAGATTTAACCCCGAGTCCTTATTTAGAGGTTAGTTCTCATCCTTGGGAGGATTCAAAACCCTTATCATAGTGTTACAATAAGTGTTTGTTTGTTGCTCCCTTGTCTACTCCCCCTGTTCCTTCAGATAATTAGGGGCTTCCTCACTACTGTATTTAGCCAAAAAATGACATCACAAGTATATTACGTAAAACATTAACAGTTTCTTCAGAAAATCTGGAAAGTAAGAATGAAAGTGAGACCTCTCACTAATATTATAAAATGGTGAGGGTCTCAAAGTGGGGGATGAGGGGGGAGACCCAGGCATTTAGGATTCCCTCCCCCTCTGTCATCCTCTGTGCATCTCAATAGAAGAGACAGCAGGCCAGCTGGCGCCTCCTGAATCTCCTTCCTGAAAACAACAAGTTAGGCCTTGGGGAAGCTCTTCCGAAAGCACTATGGAGAAGGCACTATTTTTACTTAAAACAAGATCAAACCAGAAACCTTTTCACATGTGAGTCCTAAAACTGTAAACAGAAACCTTTTCACATGTGAGTCCTAAAACTGTAAACTGGAGCCCTTTCATATGTAATTCCTGAAACTGTAAACAGAAACCTTTTCACATGTAAGCCCTAAAAACTATGAACCTAAGATTCTTCCACGTGTAACATCTAAAGTATAAGCCTACACAAAAGCGGAACCTCCCTTTGTTAGGGGAGCTTGGCTATTAAGCACATATGCTACAAGCTACCAGCTGTAATAAAGTTCCTTCCTCCTGGATTCGGTGTCTGAGAAATCCTTTCCCGCAGCCGCTCCTGCTACAATATCTTGTGGGTCGAGTTTCTTCATTTACAATGTGCCCTAGATCCCAGACTAGCCCATGTGTTTTAAAAGTTCATGTTTCTGTGTCTTACCTTTGATCTACTGAACCAAAAATCCTGTAGATGGAGAATCAAAAACAATTTTACAAAGCCTCTCCTAGTGATCCCAAACCAACTGATCCCTCGATGAGTATTTAGGAATAATAAAAACATCACAATAGTGGCTCATGTGTAGAGAGCAGTTGCCAAGTGAGCTCAGTACTGCTATTATCTTGCCTTTATAGCTAAAGATTCTAAGCCCAGAGATGTTAAGAAACTTGCCTGAGAGTATACATCCAGTAAGTGGGGAGCTGGAGTCCCCGCGGAGCCAGTCCACCTCCAGAGCCTGCCTCTTTTCAGTGCACTGGACTATTTCTGGGAACCACTGTGTTAGATTATGTCTATGATCTTTTATAAATGTCTTAGTAACTTTGATTTTGCCCTATAACTTTGTTTATATCTGAAGGTCTATTTTGTTCGTGACGTTTTAAACCTGTACTTAAACAATTTCTTGGCATATGGAGAGAATCCTTTTATCATTAATAATGTGGTTCTTTAAAATGCTCCTCTGCCTGTAAGACCTTCTTCCCAATCTTAGCAACTTTTTCACTTGTTCTCCAAGCTCTTACTTAGGTGCCTTCCCATCCGAGAAGTCTTCATCACACTCTATTACTAAGTGTGCACGAAGCACTTAATGTGGGGTAGATTACATATTATCAATTGATGGCAACAGTTACATCTCTGACCTTTCAGTGGTTGGGCTAAAACCATGGACATTTACCAGCCTCTCTTTAGACTTTTTGCCTGGGAAGTGCAGCCAAAGTTGCTGAGGAATGGATGAAGCTGCTGGAGGGCTCAGTCCCTTCCTCATAAGCAGCGTGCTTTGCCTCTCATCTCCAGAGTCTGGTCCTCAACTTCCAGTAGCTCCTTCTAGACAGTTTTCTAACCATCTAAGTTTTGGGTCTGTGCTCCTCTGTCTTCTGCCTAAGCATGTATGTCCTGGGATTATTGTCTGCAACTAAGACACACATATGCATGCACATGCACGGTCTCTCTCCTTCTCTCTTGCTCCCTCTCTCTCTCTCAAGCAAGCATTATCTAATTTGGCAAGAACCTCTTCACTAATTCTTTTTCCTTAAGGAAAATTGTGCAATTTATTGAAAATGAAAATAAAAACTTCAAACTCAAAACTCAATACTATTATATTTCCAAAAGGAGTCTGGCCCTGCAACTTGATCCATCTATTCTAGCCCACACCTAGGCATCCTACTTAGCTGCCCCCTCACATTCAATCTAATCCTGTCCCAATATAGACGGCCATCATCTCTTGCCTTTTAATAGTCCTGTTGCCTCCAATCCTGCTCCTGTCCATCCATTCTAAACAGAGTGATCTAGGACACAAGTTTTATCAAACCACCCTAACACCTGTCAGGCGCCTCCCATTGCTCCAAGAATAAAGTCAAAATTGTTTAGTTAATGAAACAACCTGCTTGCCCCAAGGCAACTCGCTCTCCAATCTTGCTGAACAACTACATTTTTCTATACATTCTCCAGTATATGGTTATTTCCATAGCTCTTTCTTTGACCTGGTAAACTTTTGTTATGCTCTACTCTTTCGTTAAGCATCTTCTATTTGCCCTTTGCTACCCACCTTAGATGTCATTTCATTCAACGAGCCTTTGTTGACATTCTCTTCTCAACTCTCACCAAGCGGGTATGATGACTCTTCTCTGTGGTTCTTGTGTTACCATCGCCACTTATAATACTTTGTTCTCACTGTTGGCTGATTTTATTCTCCACTATAAGCTCTTCTAGGAAAGGAACCCTGTCTTCTTGAATCCTGATTGCATGGTTTAAGAACTAGCAAATGTTCAGCATTTCGTACATCTTTAATAAACAAAGTAAGATCAATATGCTTCTGATCAGCCAAGGGTTTTTGGTATCTTTAATGTCCATTATGGCAGCCTGGTTAGAACATGACTTGAAAAATAAATGTTCTAGCAAGAACAGGCACAATTTACTTCTCATGCTTTCTGGAAAGGTGTGAAGCTCTAAAATCACTATACCCATCTATTTAGATAAATAAGATAAGACACAAGGAGTGTTCTATTTTAAAAATAGAGACCCTCTTTCTTTCCCTTGGATAATTCTGAAAATAAGAAAAAGGACAAATTTCTTTCCAAGTTAATACCCAAGATCTTTCTGTGGAGGTAGTTTTAGCAGCCGTAATTTGACCTGAGTATATCTGAATCCTTGTGATAATACATAACATTATAACAGATTGGTACTTTCAGAGTAATATGGAACTCAGAGAAATTTATGATACTGCAATAAAATAATACAGATTTTAAAGACTACTTTCTGGATATGGATTTCAAAGTCTATAAGCAAAATATGTTGTTGTTTTTTTCTCTATTTCTCTTTACTTACCGAAATAATTTATAAAGGGTTTCTCTAAGATATAATCATCTCTGTCATCTCAGGGACTATTAAGAGATGGTGTACCTTGACATAATGCAGAATGGAAGGCACAGATTTAAGAACATTGCAAATTACATGGGACTAATTCCAATTCCTTCAGAGGACAAATTTCTTTGGGATCTGAGTCATATAGCCTGGCTGCACAGATCTTTTCCCAATCAGCTGAGTGACCAGCGTTTTAATCTCGGATCATTTAGCCGCATGGGGACCTCATTAAATGCTGTGTATACAAAAGGTCAACATTTCCTCACCCTGAAAAAAGGGAAAAAGAGAAGCCCTTCCAGAAAAACAACTGAATAAACACTGTAAATGTTACTAAACAGGAAAGTACAGAGAAGTACCTGCTGGAAGCAGATCCTTGGCAAAACAACAATAACACAAAGACAGATTCTCTGTCATCCATCAAGGTCCAAAAGCAGTTCTCCAGGCTAACCAATGATTTGATTAATTACAGATGTATCACCTGTTCAGATTTCCAATTTTTAAATAAATAGAACAAAAATTAAATACACTCAAAGTCATTTACTCTTTTTCTGACAATTCAGAGAGTTTCAGGACATGCCAGGAACTCAGAGAAACCCAAGTCAAATGATTCCTTCATTCTTATATTTTATTACCCACCAAGATCAAGTTTCTCCAAAAGCTCTGCCACCAAGAGCATCAAAATGTCAACTACACTGGGGCTTCATAATATTTGTTCAATATTATAGAACAAATAAATGTGGCCAAGATTCTAGCTCTCTCCCAGTTTTAACTAAATAATGATAAATATATTCTCTTTGCTGTGAAGTTATACTGATGAGGAAAATCCAGTTATTGGCTTCTACAACCACAGTTTTGTTTTTCTATGTAGACAAATGCTATGGTCTCTGACCATTGTTGAATTCCTTAATGGAGTTGTTAGAAAATCAGATTGGAGAGACAATTTGTTGTGTTGTTGGATTCATTAATTTAGAGACAATCATTTGGTGTGTTTAAGTGTCTTGAATTTTTTACACACTTTCTCAGATATAATTCCTTTATCGCATCTGCGCGTTTGTCTTCACAGTTAACATTCTGACACTAAGCAATCTTGCGTAGACACAATGAGCAAAAGATAGTTCACTAAAGTCTAAAACTAGAGCTTCTAAGGAATACACAAATGCTACGTTATCTTTTCTTCTCAAGAGGAGGACAGCACATTTATTATTAGCTGCTGAAAAACCCAACCTTTTTCTAAAACTTTCCATATTATTGACAGCTCTTAAGAATGATTCTCATTAAGAGGTTAGGAGTCATTACACTTTATTATCTTCCATGTCAACAAATGTTATTAGGAACAAGTGAATTAAATATTCAAGGCATTTAATGCATTTATTTACAAATCCCAGGGATGAATTTGTTCATGCAGTTTCTGCTTCATCAAGCATTAAAAACCTTATACCTCATGCCTTTCATAGTTTGACAAGTCTGTCAGCCTAGCTTTATCCATGTGCATGAACAGGTAAATCCATAAAGACATAAAGTAAGCTTTAAAAAATTTGGTTGTTTTCAAATGACTGCACTAATATTTCAATTGTACTTTTGCTGAAATGCCTTCTTAAAGAACTCCAAACTGGCCAGGATAGTAACAAATTCTCCTCCATAGTAGGTCAAGCCCAAATTTCCCACAAATTTGCCATTCATTTTGTCTTTTCTTTTCAAATCTGTGGGTGATTTTGTTTAAAAAAAGTCACTTAAAAGAAACAAGAAAAATAAAGCTGGTAATCTTCCAAAACAGGTGAGCAGCTAAATCACACAATAGCCTTTGTCCTGTGGGAAGACTGACATAGTAATGCCAATTCAGATGACACCCCTAAAGTTGTTTTTGTTGACTGAGTTGGAATCCTGCAAGGTAAGAATTCTCCTTGGAACTGGGATGTTTTTGAAACAACATATTAGTACCAGATTGAATCATATATAAAAGAAGAACACTGACCAATCACTGTTTCTAACTGAATTTCTCAGTGATCCTCTGAATAAGTTAAGCCACATGATTGCCCTAGTAAGCAGATAATAATAACATGACAATTTTAAAACAACTAATATTTTGTTAATGGTGGACATCACAGAGTCCTACAAGAAAAATCTGCATTCTCATATTAAAAAAAAAAAGAAAAGAAAGACTTAAGCGGGAAGGAAAAATTAAAATAAAGCCAGTATAACTGCCAATGTAGATGAGAAGTTTGGGAAATATTTAAGAGGTTTATTAAGATTTATTAGATAGAAGTTGAGCATACAGATTACAGAAAAAGTTCTTAAAAATATTTAGTCAAAGAAAGATGAAAAGCATAGAGAACTAATAAAAGAATTCAGGAAAATTGATTTTTAAAGTATTTTTCTCCTAAATATATCATCAGGAATGCTAGCATTTTGCTTTGTTTTGTTTTTTTTTTTAACTAAGCTTAGGAATGGCCCATTTTGATGTCCTAATGTTTCACTCCCTTGGGATACCTACTAGATGAAAAGCTCCCTTACAGATCAAACATATAGGGAGCATATGACACCAAAAGACGGATCTGGAGGGAAATTATTTGACCTGTAGCTATAGCAACCAGAGTAATCAAGCGGCATACTTTCTGAGTTGGGAATAAAAACGATTCAAAACATTATTAAAGGGAGCAGGACTCCTGCGTAACTCACTGTGGGGTAAGTGGTGATGGAAAGAGGAGGTTTCGATGGATTTGTGTTGAGTGAGAGAGTCAAGAGTACTGTGCCAAAGCTAAGGTAGGATTTTAGCACATGATGCCGCCCACCCACATCCATAGATAAGTTGCAGAGTAACAGTTGATGTGCTTCTTCAAACAAGAGGTTGTTCAAATTGTAAAGCCTTGGTGAGATTGAGGGAAAGGTAAATCTCAGCAAAAGGGATACTCTGCTAAAATCAAAGGGAAGATGCATTATCGTATTCATGTATCTGTTCCCTCACCCCACGTCTATATCTGAAGCACCTGCACCATCCAATCAAAATGAGGGTTGTCTAAATGGGAGAATGACCAGAAAGTGACCAGTAGACTGGCAGAAGAGATCTTTTTAGAGGGAACAAAAGTCCTCTGTGTAGCTATCCAGAAGCACAAACCCTCCCTGGCCTCCTTTTCTAGTATATAGGGGCATGCTCTCCCCTTCTACACCACCATTTTTTTCTGCAACATGGGACCCTACATGCGTGGCACTCTATTAAAGCCTGTAGTGCTGGTTTTTAAACATTAGCTTGCAAAAGAATTATATGGGGAGTCTGTTGTATATTTGGATTGTGGAGTTACAAACCTAGTGATTCTAATTCATTAAGTTTTCAGTAGACCCCAAGGATCTGTATTTTTAACTGGACTCATATTTGATTTAAGGCAGGAAGTGCTTGGACCTCAATTTGAGAAACATTGGCCTTAGGAACCCATTCTTCCTTCTTGGAAATATGCACCCTTGGAAAGTCCAGATAATATCAGGTAGAGTCCACTTCCTCCAGACATGGAGGGGCGTGGGGAGAGAGAGAGAGAGAAGTAAACATTTGCTTTCATTAATAAAAGGTAATTAATATATATAACAAGGGTTAAATTTTAAGTCCTGATATTTGAATCACTTAAAGCTCATCCTGGAAAAAATGGACATCTTGCAATCAGTTATAGTGATTGTCTGTAAGAGGTCCCAGTCTGATAAAATGACAGTAGAAATGAATGAGACTTTGAGAATCATATCTGATCTTAAGAAAGTCCTCATCGGTACCACAACCATTCCTAGCAAAAAGTATACACATGCACAACGGCCAAGTAGATTCTTCTCCTTTTCAAATAAAGACATTATATTTGGAGATGAGACTGGACTCTGAACTAGGGCATTCTGTTATGGTCATAACATGACCAACTGAAACAAAGAAAATACCATAATGCGATAATCATGTGTTTTTTGTCTTTGGTTCTGTTTATATGGTGGATTATGTTTACAGACTTACGCATGTTGAACTAGACTTGCATGCCTGTGATGAAGCCCACTTGATGGTGATGGATAAGCTTTTTGATGTGCTGTTGCAATCAGTTTGCCAGTATTTCATTGAAGATTTTTGCATCCAAGTTCATCATGGATATTGGCCTAATAGAAAAACATGAATATCCATCCCACTATGAACTGTCTTTGTCAAATTTGACTTTTCATATAACAAAGCTCATTTCTTATTTCTAATGTATGAGTAAAGAAGACAGAGAAACCTGTAAGCATATTGCTAAAAATTCAGATTTTTTTTTTTTTTTTGGAGAAAGGATTTTGCTCTGTCAACCAAGCTGGAGTACATTGGCATAATCTCAGCTCACTCCAACCTCTGCCTCCTGAGCTCAAGTCATCCTCCCATCTTAGCCTCCTGAGCAGCTGGGACCACAGGTGTACACACCATACTCAGCTAATTTTTGTATTTTTTTTGTAGAGATGAGGTTTTGCCAAGTTGCCCGGGCTGGTCTCTAACTCCTGAGCTTGAGTGATCCACCTCCCTGAGCTGCCCAAAGTGCTGGGATTACAGGCATGAGCCAACTTGCCTGGTCTAAACTGAAAGCTTTTTAATACAAAGGATTAACCCTTTTTCTCTTTGGTAAGTCATTATAATTGCCCTGTGCTCCAGGCAGTATTATTCTGAAAACCTTAGATTCTGAACTCCTAGAAAATTGAAATTCTATTCTAGCCCAGCATTTTATCTTAAAAGGCTCACAATAAATAACTCTAGTTATCAAAATATCCTAGACTGATTTCCATCCTACAGCTCTGATCTAGATAAGTTCATTCCCATACCAGAAAATGTGAAGAGAAATAAATAAATAGCAGCCATTAACTTTAGCCATCAGTGGAACAGCTCACTTAGCTGTCTCTGGCTGTTTCCTAAGTCTTACTTATAGACAGGCTGATCTTGCTGATTCATCTATGTGACAAGCTCACTAGCTATAGAGGAGACTAGTTGACATTTTCCAAAGTGCATTGATGTCTCTTTTCTCATTTACTCCAAAGCACTGGTCTAAGTCAGCTAAAACAGAAAGCATTATTCACAATGAAAATAGCAGAAACTTAGGCTAAAGGAAGTGATATGCTTCATATAAGATGTTTATGGTATCACTTGGGCCTAAAACTCAGATGTCTTTACTCCTGGTTGCAGCTGTGTAGCCCTGGTCAAGTTCATTATTTTCCCACTTGATTGTATTCTGCTCTGAAAGCTCCTCATCCCAAAGATTCATCATCAAACAAACATTTACTGAGCATCTATTATGTGCCAGACACATAGTTCAGCTATACAGGTCAAGATTTCTTGTTTGCAACCTCCTGTAAGAGGGCCACAGTATCCTAATCTGCACAAAGAGATAGATTAAACTTTTCTCTAGTTTTTTTGCTCGTTTGTTTTTGTTTTTTAGCTGAGACCAATTATGTGGTTGGTTTTCAGTATATAACAAGAAGAAGGAAGGTACAAGTTGTCCAGGTATTAATCAAAAGTTTACCTAATCAATTTCCATTTTATTTTCAGAGAAGGTGAAAGACCTGAGCACCATCACTTGTTTCCAGTAAATTAATAACTTCTACATTATATGAAATGCTAGGGTGCTTAATGATGGATCATAATAAAAGGTTGTAATAACCAGAGGGTGGATGCTTGTTCTGACCATTTGTCATGCTGTTCATTTGAAATCATTTATTTCTCTTAGTCGCTATGTTACAGCCCCAGTTTGCATTTGTCTTGCAACATAAATCAGTGGTTTAAATGGGAAAGAGATCAGAGTCCTATTAATTGCAATTAGTCTATGAGACAACTTCTCAACAAATGTGTATATATGTGTGTGTGTATGTGTGTTTCCGCATGTGTGTGTGTGTATCCTAAGTGAGCAAACACAACAGGAGTAATTTAGTCTACCTAGTTCTTATCTCCTAAATCATTTCAGAAGAAATTGCTCTGACATAGTACAATTCTGGTTTTACATCATTTATATATAACCAGGAATTTAAAAAATATTTTTCCAATAAATTGCCTAAGAATGAAAGCCTAACTCTAATATATTTGCTGCAGTGTAGGATTTGGCTTCAGGGGGCCCAACTTGTACTCTTAAGAAGATTAAAGCAAGCATTTTTCACTTTTTGAAGTGCTTTTATTGTTTGCCTTTCCATAGATACCTACCGCAAGGTAGGAAAATTGGATGAAGCTGCAGATGAGAAAGCAGCTATATTTACACAAGCCA